CACCCGGGAAGAGCACAATAATCATACCAACATGGGCCAGTGAAGTGACGTCCTCCACAACTAGACTGAAGAACAAAACAGCAATTTGTCTACCTGTCTGTTCCCCTTCCCTGATTCTCCAGCGCTGTTCCCCTCCCCCCAATTCCCCAATAAAATCTTAAAAAAAAAAATGAAACTACAGGTGGACATCATAAAGAGACATCCATGCATCTGGATATGTAGAGGAAGAATATTGTCATTAGGCAACATTAGAGGAACATTTAAAATAGTTCTTCATTTTGGAACAGGTGTGAATTGGGGTGGTAATTCAACACAAACTTATGAAGTTCCTGCCATATACAAAGTTCCATGAAAAGCCCTACAGGGCAGAGATGTTTCCATTATTGGGTCAGAAAATCAATCTTGTGGGTTGCAACCAGCTTTTTCTTCTTTCTTTAATGGAATAGGAAAGAAGAGAAATTATCTGAGTGTATCCTAAACAGCAAGGAATGACTGTCTCACGAGGCTTTTATTTTAATAATATTCAAAATCAGAATAGAGACTCAACCAAAGCAACTCACCCAACATAAACAGCCCTGATGGTCATACTGATTCACACCAGTCCTTAGGTACTGGGTCATGATGTTAATTGTATTTCTGATGGTGATTGTAATTACAAATGTTTGGAAAGCATTGCTGAAGGGATTATAAATTTGAACAAGACTTATGATTAACCCTTATAATTTAGTAGTGGAGGCTAATTATAAGAACTACAGCAGAAAAAATAAAGTAGTAATTATTTTACCACAAAAAGGATGGCTCTGGGAAGCTCCTCCACTAGGATAAGCAGGGAGATGTGTGTGTGTGTGTGTGTGGGAGGGTTGGGGGGGGGGAAGTCCAGGGAAGCAGCTGCAAAAGATGGAATTAGAAAGACCTAGAAGGGCAGTTGGGGAAGAAAGAGTAGAGGAGGTAGAGAGAGAGAGGATGAAGGGGCAGGAGGGGAGAAGGAAGGGGACAGCTGCCCTGGGAAGTGGAAGTTCAGGTTAAAGACAGAGATGGTTAGAAAGGAACTTTAGGAGGTTCTTTTTGTGTGGGGTATAATGTAATTATCTTCCCATCTCCCAAAAAACATTCAGGAAAAATATGGGTGGGATGGACTTGGGTCAAAGTCACCTTGGAATAATGATCTTTTAGTTTTTTCTTAAGTACCTATCTCTAATTTTGTTTTATTCATTGTTTGGTTTAGCATTCAGCATTTTAAGAACTCAGCAGGTATTTGATTATTAAAACATAGACTGTCTTTCTGGGCTGGTGATAGAACAGCTGTAAAGCTGCTCAGTATGTGTGTGGGTGCTCGACTCCCCCGTTTCAGTCTATCAGGTGCCCCTTCCCAAGAGGTGACCATTTAGTTTCAGTGTTGGCCTCTCTTCTTTTCTCTTCACACCCAATCCTTAGATGTAATCTCAGAAAAAAATATGACAGCAGATTTTTTTTTTTAATCCAGTGCTTTTTGAAGTCAGAATTATATGTCTGCTGACCTCAGTCCAAGTGAGATGGGAGGCATGGTGATGTAGACCTGGCCTGATGTCATGGACACATCAGCTGTCAAGGGGAGGAGACATGCACTTGGAGGGGGCAAGTGGGGTGGCTGGAGAGCTGGGGAGGGAGGCTCTGCAATGATGACAAAAGCGGTGCTTCTGAGCTGGGCTTTCCAGATGTGGAGTGGGAGGAGGGGCGGGTTGACTATTCCGCATGTGAAGTGGTGTGAGCAGAGGCAGGCCTGTAGGAAGCACAGGGCTGGGTAGTTTTGGTGGCAGGAGGGTCTTGGTCCAGAGCCAGGCTTTGGACTTCATTCAGGAAGGAACACAGAGGGGGCGACACCACCAGTTCTAGGCTTGAGGGTACTGAGGAGCCATGTTCCTCGGGAGTAAACCCTTAGTCATTCACTTCTGAGAAGAACAAGGAACGGAGACCATACACTCACCTTCCTGAGAATCTGTTCATTGTTGATGCTGGTTTTCAAGTCCATTTTGATGGCTGGACACACGGACGTCTGAGTCTGGGCACAATGCTTCTCATGTTTGCAAGTACTTTTTAAGAATTGGAATGATTGGCAGGGGTGCCCCTTTACTTTTTCGTTTTCCTTCTTTTTCTCTTGGCGTTGTTTTATAGTGTTAGGTTCCACCCGGATTCTGCAATCAGTAACTTACCCTGAAACCCGACACACAGGTATTTTATTAAAAAGCAGATTAATACCTCCCTCTCTAAAAATTGGCAAGTATTGCTGCACACCCTTCTCTGAAAATCTTAAAGTGCTTCATTAATCTTAAAATGGGAGTAAGGAATTAAGACAGAGACAGTTGAGTGGAATCATTCAATTTCCAATTTCTATATTCATGGTTCCATGTTCTTTCTTTTAGATTCTTTAAAATGGGGGCAGTACCCATGGAACTCAATGATAAAGGAACACATTTAACATTAATAGTGGGTACTAAATATTACCAAAGACATATTGATTTTAAAATGGCATCATTCTCTCTATAGACATAACTCTTGCCAGGTAGTATATCATAGTGGTTAAGAATGTAGGCTTTGGGGCCGGCCGAGTGGTGCATTGGTTAAGAGCTGGCTTGGGACACCAGAGGGCCCTGGTTCGGATCCCACATATGAGGGCCAGTGACACTGTCCTCTACAGCTAAGATGCTGNCCCCTGAGTCTTTCTTCATCTACAGTCCAGGGATAGAAATGGTACACATACCCATGTAACATTATGTACCATACATCTACATGTAATGGTACATATTTACCTATGCTGGGAGAATAAATTAGATAACTTAGGCACTGTGCTTGGTACATAGTAAGCATTCAAGCCCCATTAGCTGATATTATTATTATTATTATTACTATTACCCCCTGATCCTCCCTGACACGCTTGGAGTCCCAGCCCTCTAAAGGACTTGCTCTGTTCTTCCCTAGCACCATACCTTTCCTTCCACCTCCTCTCCTGGTCAATATTGACCCATCACCTAGAAAATTGTGATTTCCCTTATCCAAACTACCGCTATAATTTACATGGACATTTTTTGTGCTATTCAGTTTTCTACCTTGCATTCTTCTTAATCAAGAGCGTGTCTCCTCTCCTCTACTATACGAGGACTCCCTGTGACAGCAACATTACTTACATATATTTGCATCCTCCTTAGCAATGAACAATGTCTTTCACAGACTGGCCTTCCACAAATATTTGTTGAAAGAATAAATGAATAGACTCTTTTAGAGAACCCTAACATGTACTCACGAACATTAGCTCTGAGGAGGTTTTAGAGTGTCCCGTCAGTGATGACATGATGAGACACAAGGACACGAGACATTGCCCTCCCCTGCCTGTGCCTCCCCCAGCTGACAGCAGGAAGAGCCTTGAAAGAATTCCACATTCCAGCCTTACCTGCAGTAATCGAGGCCAAGAGAATGCAAACTGCTGAACTGCAGAGCCTGCCCAAGTCTCCCTAGAGAACACAGATCCATCTTGCAATCAATGAACTCTAGGGTGGTCAGTGGGCAGGTGGTATGCCCCTTCAATTCCAGAAGCAAAGCCTAAGAATGCAAGGTAAAAAAGTGCTTACACAATTAAGACTAATGTGCTCTGTGTTTAAATATGTTACTTAAAACTCAATTATGTTCATTACCTCGGCATTTTTGCTTCTAAGATAACTTTCTAATTACCCAAGGAGAAAGTGGCATGAAAATACAATAATTTCACTTTAAAATGAAGACTAATTAAAGAATTAATGGGAAACAGCAATAATGAGCTGAGATATATTGTAGCATATTTTTTCAGATGTTATTATGGGCTGAATTGTGTCCCCTCCCAATTCATACCCCCAGTACCTCAGAAAGTGACTATATTTGGAGATCGGGCCTTTAAAGAGGTAATTAAGTTAAAATGGGCCCTAATGGAATCTGACTGATGTCCTTGTAAGAAAAGGAAATTTGGACACAGAGGGAAGATGATGTGAGGACACAGCGAGAAGGCAGCCATTTACAAGCCAAGGAGAGAGACCTCCAGAGAAACCAACCCTGCAGACACGTTGAGCTCAGACTTCCAGCCTCCAGAACTGTGAGGAAATAAATTTCTGTTGTGTAAGATGTGCAATACATGGTACTTCGTTACGGCAGCCCTAGGAAACTAATAGATGTTGATATTCTGACCAACACATTTTTATCCTCCTATGGTTGTATTCTTTTTACTAGAGAAGTGTTGCTGTGCCGATCTTATAATTAGATAAAAATTATAATAGTTAAATTATCTCATAAACTATTTACATCATAGTTATAGATATTATTAGGATTTAGAGGTCTGCTCAGAACTGGGCTGTGCAAATTCAGCAACTAGGTGCCTCTCACGTTCAAGCAGCTGGACTGGTGGCAACACATGAGCATTTGAAGCCATCTCAAGTTCTCTCAGTTCCTGAATGGCGGGGTCAATGGCAAGGTCATTTCTTGTGGTAACAAATGATCCCCATCATAGTCCTAACTGACAGGAAAGGGTATTTAAAGCTACAAATCAGGAAGGCCACCTTTTAGCAATTAGAATCACCACAACCTGAGGATTCCTTCAGTTCTGAATTTAAGCCTAAAAGAGGCTTTGGTGAGGTTTGGAAGATTTGGGGTTTTTTGAGGTAATGACACATTGGTCAGAGATAGGATTCCAAATTATACCTTGGCTGAGAATAAAAAAGCACT